GCTCATACAACAAGTTACATATACATATACACATAATTTTAGACAAAATAATAACTATATATCAAAATATTGATCATTTTCTTTAGTAGCAGTTATCATGGTTTATCTGCCCTTAGCCACCTCCTTATGGAGGAATATTTACATAGCAAAATAGTTATACAATATATCTTCACTTCAAAATAAGATGCATTTTAAACAAAATATATATATATACAAAAGATCGCCAGCTTCCTGCACCTTTAAACTCCACCGATCACTACTCCCTTGCCCTTAGGAGTACTTGCTCTTGCTGTATTACATGGAAGAAGGGGTGAGATTCTAAAGAATCTCAGTAGTAACAAATTTCCTTCACGTAATCATACAAGATCACAAACAACATGCTACACAGGCCAAAGAGAACATCACCTTGCATCCAAATATAATCAATGGTGCACATACACCATACACCCATATAGCCACATTAATCTTTTCGGATATTTCCCCCACAATTCCAGCTTCATATGCGTCATTCTATTTCCTATTTTAAGGTCCAAAAATCTTGATTCAGTCCTCTCAAATCAGTATTCAAATTCTACATTAATCTCAACAACCTTGCTAAGCTATAAACTTTTTTTCAGATTTCAATATCTATCTTCACACTTTAATCAATTTCGGACAGCACCCCATCCTTCCAAAAATATTTTAATATGTCTACACTGAGGTTTAATCATCTCTCTTCCCTTCCTATATTTCACGCCATAGTCATAAGCAATTCTGGAAAAATTTTTCCAGATTCTAAACATACTCCCAAATTTGGAACAGCCCTTTTTACCTTAGTTCTAAAAATTCTCCAGCTTTAAAACTATTTTCTTACCATCACAATAGAGCTTTTAAACCTGGTCCAATAACTCAATATGCCAATAATAGCTGTAGAGCATCAACCCGTAATGATTCTTCAACTTTCCAGTTTGAGATATTGCCACTAAAATTTCAGATTTGACACGGACAACACCTACACACATACGTGTGTGTGTATTAAAATACATCTACACCTCCAAGGTTCTCAAACTACCACCGAACAAACTGAACGTCCCTGTTTTAGTGACTAAAACTAGAGCAATCAACTATACAAGCAAGTGCAAAAATTCCAACCACAAACTCCATCCTCACCATTAAGCTCAATTTTTATAGCTTAGCTCTCATGCTCTTCACTTTCTATCCCAAAAACCAGATTTCATCTTCATCATCCCCTTGCAACACATGCCCAAATAACAAAAAACAAAGATGGAAGAAGATTCAAGAGACTCACCTTGTTTGATTTTCACCTTTCGATGAACCGATTCCCTCCTCTGCTAGCCTTTCTCTTTCTTGATCTCTCTCGAACTCTCTCAGCTTTCTCTCTGTTTTTCCCTCGAACAACAGAGCAAAATGAGAAAGGAGGAGGTGTTAGGGCATATTAGATGGGTGTGGGACGTGAAGTGACCATTTTGCCCTTTGGTCTTCATTTTCTTTCAACTAGATTGTGCTATCCCGTGCGCTGCACGGGGAGCGATTACTTTATTAAAGTTCTCGCTCAAAATAATATTATTCTCATATTTGCTAACGCACATATGTTGAAATTACTCCAATACATTCAATTCTTCTACCCATTTTTATATGTTTGTATAACTTATAAAATATTATCGACAATATTATAACTGTTATTATTGATGATTTTTTTTTAAAAAATAATAAAAATTTCTCAACTCTTATTTAAAATTTAGATTCATTGGGGACGAATGATGTTATTGCTCATTTGATGTGTAATAAAGGTCCACCGAGCGGGGATCACTATTTATTTGTCTATAGCTATGCATTCTCCGAGTCAATCTTCAACACATAGCTAGCTAGAAAAGTAGCTATGTACTGTGACCTATTAAACCAATACCCATATGAAGCTCATAGAAGTTTCATGACGATAGAATAGAATAATTCTTTACTATGAAAGATTTTCAATCAAAACTAAAACATGTTGTCTTTATTTTAGAATTTTCTAAGCATGAACTTGAAACCTGTAAGGATACCTACTCATGACAGGCGCTGTCGCATAGTAAAACGTCAAATTTACAAATAAAAAGATAGTTACTTAGGACAGTCTGCACCATATACGAGTTACCAATGGGAAAACTAATATACATAGGATGAACCACAATTCTGCAGTTGCCATTGAGGGATGAAGGAAAGGAGGTTTCTTGCTCACTCTTTGAACAGCGTATTTAGTTAAGTAGGCCCCCTTATTAGTTTACTCAAATACATCTTGGAAAATAATGATGCAAAAACGTTGATTCAATTTATCTTCTTTTTTCTTTTGAGTAAATATATTTTATCTTATTAATATCTCATTAATTACAAACCTTTTCAATATCCACTCCAGCAGAAGAAATTACTGCACTATAAGATATCGAAAGTCATTAGATGTCCGAACTTACTGTATTTTAAGATGTCCTAACTTACTGTATTTTAAGATGTCCTAATAGTAAAGTAATAAGACAACGTTTTGGAGATTTTCATATTTATAACCAGATCAATACTATTCAACACAGCTCAAACGTTTTATACAAGTTACTGCTGATATATGCATTTGTCATGTAAATGTGCATCCATTTGAATAAGAAATGCTACGAACAAACTATACAGATGCAGCAGATGCAGGGAAAAAAAATCAGCAGTTCTGACTTCTTGATGCTAATACTGCAACCCAACATGAAAAATCTTCTTTTCAGGTGAGCATCAAAATAAACTCCATTTGCAGCCTAGTTTTCTAGCTATCTAGTAAGGGAATACTGCACAAAGCAATTAATAAAATAAATTATTATATGAAAATGATCCTTTGTAAAAGTAAGTGGAACAATATTAAAGAAACCACCAAGGTCAAAGGCAATGATGGGAAAAACAAAGGTACAGTTAATGCCACTTGCAGGATTCTAAAAAGACTACTAAGGATGTCTCTGGTGAGATCACCATGAAACAAAACATGCATACCAGAAAGATGCTATTAAACATTAAACACTACAACTGATAGCAAGCACCCATACCAATCCACAATGACAAAGTACATAGGGACAAATTTTCTGCAGACTATTTTACATTGCCCCAGGGAAAAAGTTTTGACTTCAACCTTTCTCACCCAACATGGCATCACTTGCAGAAAGTATATTGGAAGGCCTAATATTGTTAAGTTCCGCCCCATGAAAGGGAAGTTTCAACTCATGTAAAACGTCAATAGACAAGACGATAAAATTGATACTCCTCCGGTCCTAATTATAAGACCCAATTGACTTATTTGAGGAGATTAAGGAAGCAAGTTAAGTTGGTTATTTATAATAAATAAGTGTTGTCATTCTTAAAATATCTTTACTAATTAAGTATATTGGCTAAAACTATCATTATTAGAAGGATTATCTTGGAAAAAAATGCATAAATATAAGAAACAAAATGGATTGGGTATTATAATTAGGACCAAATAAAAAGTCAAATTGGGTCTTATAATAAAGACCGGAAGAGTATTAAATAAGTTTAAAGCAAGCAAATCAGCACCATTTAAAATACCAAAAGTCACATGACAAGTCGACAATTTACCATGTCTATTTCACATTCCCTCAAAACAGACCGGTTGAGTAGTATTGTTTAGGATCATTCAATAAAAATAAACACTTTCTGCTCCACTTTATCATCATAAAGAGACGTCCCTTTGCAGTATACCCACTGAAATGCAGACACTACTGCTTGTTTTGACAATTGAAAAATGAAGTTTTACCATACTTTTTAAGGTCAATGACTCCATCACCTAAACTATTATTTCTCATGAAATGAATAAGTCCAAGACTAATTAGATATACAACCACCAACAGTTTATGCCCTCTAAATAACTTGATGACAAAAAGATTTCCCGACCATTAATGAAGCAAAAGAATACAATTTTTAACCCAAACTTCATCTTATATATCTGCAAAAAGTACACAATGTATGTTCATTCATGGATAGAGAAGTCTCAAAATGTGTGTAATTTCTGTGCATGGAGTCAACCTTTTGCATCGACTCAGCCTTCTGCACTGCGAGCTGACTAATCTGTCCTCTTTTTATTGCTTGATTCTACTCACTCTTCTCCACCTCCCTTCTAGCTTCACGATGGCAGCTTTTTTTTTTTCCCTCTACCATTTCAACATTATCTGCAAAAATGAAAAAGGGGCTAGGGCCAGAGAGCATTTCTCATCAAAATAGGGAGATTCATGTTCATTTGACTAATTTGTGAGATTTACTTCATATTTTTATTGTTGATAATCATTCCAACAAAGCATTGTCATTCATGTTTTAGAAGTTGATAAATTATTAATGTTTACTTCTCATTTTCTACTTCTTAATTATGGAATAATAACAACATATAATGAACACACATTAATAAAAAAGATAATTGCAAGGGTAGAATATTTGAATACTATTCGAAAGTAAATGGGCAATACAAAAATATAAGATATTTAGATTAAGACTACACAAGGAGGCATTATACTACAGAACACTAAAGAGCGCTTGTCTTCATTATTAATCTAAACATCATTTCACGAAAGGCATAAACTGATAAGAAGCTTTAAAAAAAAACCAAAAAAAAAAAAAACTACTCATAAAGCTTAACAATGTATCCTGATAAGGAGAGGTACCTTGTGATACCCTCAATACCTGATGAAACATTTCTTACACATTTGGATTCAGTTGGGTAGAAAGAATTGAACCACATCCTTGAAGTTTATCATGGTAGAAAAAATGATAAAACTTAAAAATCAAAGATCTACCAAGCTTGAAGAGGAAGGAAAGAGTACCAGAAAATTGGGGAACATATTTTAATAATTTTGGTTTCATTCCCATTGCCATGAGCCATGGTCTTAAGCAACCTCCCCTATCAATTCAAAATGTATGGCTCAACTAAAAACAAAGCATCGATTAGTATTGCCTCCTTGTAACCTCCGCTACATCAATTTTAGTACTACAATCTCCCATAGAAGCATCAAAATAAGCTCCACTTGCACCAGAATTTTTTGACAGACCAGAAAAATTAAAGCCAACAATCTAATCAAACCTGCAATACAGCCGAATGAAGCATATAAGAAAAGATCCAACAGGTTAAGGGCATCTCATAACCGTTCAAAGCTTGAAAATGGGTCATCTCTGTCTACATAGTGCAAATTAAGAGTAATATAATTTTCGATTCATTATGCTGCATAATCAGCAATCTTTAGAACTCCACCGGTTATAAGCTTTTCTTGACAATGCAATTAAAAATTGAGAACGAAGACAGTATATTTGCAAGCAAAACTTCAAGGTTATCCACATATATATCGTAAAAGCTTGGATGTCACAGAACATTCTAGCAAAAGAAAGGAAAAAAACTTGGATGTCAGACATAAGGCGAAAGGAAGAAATCTGGACATCATACAACATTTCAGCAGAAGAAATAAAAAGATTCGGTGCCACCCACATATGTAGTGTAGGAGACGAAGGGTGGGATGAATAAATGAGCAGTTGACCAATGAACTTACTTTTGCAGTGATGATGGCAAAAGGAAGAATGTTTGTGCAAGTCCTTCCTCTCTTTTTTCCGTTCCAGCTGCAGTGATCTGCAAACGAAGAAGGCTATGAAGATGGGGAAAAAAAAATGTAGCACCAGCCAAACATCACACCACACACAAGGGAAGCTATGACATTATAGTGAGTTCCAGTAAAAGAAAGGAGTAGATTCAAACATACCCACTCATATAGCGTAGAAGACGAGGGACAAGAATGAAGGACACTGAAGAAGATGAAGGAGTCGGAGAGCAGGCGGTAGAGGGAGAAACGTTTGTGGGGAAAGCTGGAAAAAGAGATGAAAGTAAGCCTGAGAAATGAGGCGGGGGATTCAAAATTCAAAATATTGCCTACACGAAGCCATTTGTTGTGAGCCATATGACACAAAGCCCAATAAAATCAATATTAAGCCAGATATCTCTTATGAACAGTAAAATGAGTCTGGAGCTACAAAGTAAGCCGTTTGAGCCGTGGCTTGAGTGGAATAGTATTAAAAGATATATTGATTTGATCCTTCTCTATTTTTCTAGGATAATCGAATAATTCCAAAAATCAAACCTGGATATTTTATATGAATTTCATTCTTCCATTAGCTTCTTTAGTTCATAAAATAATTATCCTAAAAATCTCAACTTAAAAATTATCCTCTAACTATTTTTCCTTGAATTTTCTAAGAAACTAGGTCCTAAATTCCTGAAATTAACTTTATAATTATTCAGACCATATTTGAAAGGTCTTAATCTCAATAATTTCTCTAAAAATTTCTCCTTCATCATGCTTTATTCAAATCCATAAAATTTGAGATATTACACAAACAATGCGTAAACAGCAAAAAAGTGGGGTTCTACTATCAGACTATTTCAGAAACCATAGTCAAATTCTCCAAATGGCTCCCTTTTTCGGCCTGATCCAGATGACCCCCTTTTTTTGGCCATTGATCCAGATGGCCCCTTTAAACTTTAAATAATTAGCTTATGAAAAGTCTCACTATGGGAAGTCCTCCTCATTAGAGAGTTTGTTTTAATTCTATTTGTAATCCCTGATTGTTGTGCAATTGTTTCACTGCACAATATTAGACTAGATTAATGAGGAGGATATTTTGAAACGTGAATAATGAATAACTAACAACTACTTTGTTAATTTGTGTAAATTGGTAATGAATACTAATTAAAAAATCATTTTAAAATCTTTATCAATAAAATTCAAAACGCTAAATGTGAAAAAGTTACACATGGGGCATGCATTCCATTATTATACTGACTCATCAATTTCCCTGCAATTGAATCAGGGAAATCTCAGCTCATCATTATGAGTTTGTGTGGTTGACTTTCTGACATTTGAAAGGAGGACATTGCACCTAATTATTTGACACACGCATCAAATGATCCAATACACACCATGCTACATCCAACTCCTCTGCAGTGCTCACTACTCTGATTTTAGTTTTTTTAGGGGCTTAATGCACACTATCTTTTACACCTTCACACGCAGAATATCACTTCGGATGATTTTCCCAACAAAATCAATAAAGAAGACGTATAGGAACCATCTAGAAATCTCAGCCCTGCCTATAGATTCACTGAATTCGAAGCAACGTAACTTCCTCAAGGCTACTAAAATATATAGATAAAATTTTTCATGCGTGTGACATAATTAATATAGAATTGACAACTAAGATATCTTGCGTGCTAAACCCTACAGATCTTAAACTCATTTATTTATGTCATAAGTTTCACATACCCTATATGTCGTATGGGTGATTCAACGGATAAAAAATAAGTTACATATTTCTATCAGTTGTGTGCTTTTATTATACTATGATGTGGATAATTAATTCCAATATATGTAAGCAAACCCATCTCAATTATCCGTAGCTAAAGAATCATGTCAAATAGGATAGTTAAACATAAATATCACGATGTTTATATGAAAACGCTCATTTAGATGTATAATTTAGGTCCCAGAGTTACTTAAATTAACTCACTGACTTTGGGGCTAATTTAAGTCAAGTGTTATTTTACATTGCTAACAGGTGTCTGTTTCAACTTTATAACAAATAGCTACTCTCCAAAAAAAAAAAAAAATCTACCATACATATATCTTATTGTCAGTGCTACTATTAGTGTGGAAAACAATTTAACTGTCATTATCTACTTCTGACCCTTTACAATGTGGTAATCCTAACAAAAAAACTAAGAAACCTTCATATACAAGAAAAGTTAGTTTCCTAAACCAAGTAAGATCTTATCTCTGATTCATACCTATAAAGTTGCTATTCTGTCAATCTGCACTCTCTGGTATAGACATGTTGCAATGGTGAAACGTATTAAGAAAGCAAACAAACTTATAACTTTCTTACTTATTCATTATGCAATAAAACTAGCCATATTGAACAAACAAATTAATAATACTGCATGTTCAATTGTAACAGAGCCATGAAAGATATTCAGATGACAGTACTTATATTTTTTTCATAAAAAAGTTAATATAAATAAAGATCCTATAATGTAAAAAGTTATACAGAGAATTGTATTGCACTATTAAGGACCAGCGGTCTCCTGCAAAAGCATAATAATGATCCACATGTTAATTTTTTTAACTCGTTTGACTACTCATCTACTCTTTTATATTCATTGACCCTTAAACATATATCAGTTTTCTTTTGCTACCAATGCTGCCCATATGAAAAGATATAAAAGCAAAATATTATATGCATAATCAACACAACATTTATATTAGTCTGCACCATCTTCATATACATGATAAATGGCTATCATCAGATCATAGTTGACAGACCATTGCATATACAAAATGATCACAGACTATCATAAAATAACTTATTTTAGTTCCACCGTCCATCAAACCACAAAAACGCACAACTATAATTAACAGATATCATGCCAGCCACTTTATTATTCTAGCTCTAACAAGCATCTACCTAGGACCCTAATTATTCTTCAACAGATCCCTCCTCGTGTAACATGCTTCATAAAATGTTGGGTTCCAAAATACCCTTGTGGCATTTATATAGTTTGTCAGATATGATGTTCCTGCAAATAAAACATACAACATTAAAAAAATTTCATAACTATTAATGCACTTATAATAACTCAGTTGAACAAAACACATAACTTTAAACTTACCTTGCACCTAATTCACAACTGCATACTGTACAATGCAGACCAGTTTTGATACCTCCCATACTTGCTCAAATTCTATCCATGTCTCTTTAGCAGGATCGCCATGGATCTCACAGGAAATCCTTTTCTTGCTACAAATATATCCAATCAAAGATCACTAAACAAAATGAACAATAAAAAATACTGAAACTTAATCACTATACCTAAAAACACTCATTCAATCATCTACGAAAAAACTCAACTCCAAATCCTCCACAACAAAGTTCAGGACATAAATGTGTGTCCCATTGTGCCTAGTAATTTCCAAATCCTCCAGAGTGACCAAAAGACCAATGATATCTACAGATCACAAAAACCAACCACATCATCTTGTAAATAAAAGTTGAACCAATCAATTACTATCAAAACACAATTAGTCATTAAAAAAATGTCTAGACTTATTAACCCCTGGCTTTGCATCCTGGAGCCCAGTTAAGTTGAATATCTTTTATATTCTTCAGCCATAATGTAGACCAAATAGATTGAATGCAACAATCCTACAAACAAAGGAACTCAATGAAAATGACATAGCGATAACGCCCAAAGAAAAAACGCATGAGCCTATCATGACTGGAACGATATATATATACACAAAAAACCATTCAATAAATCCTACCTACTAGGGGGGGAAAAAACCAACCGATTGCATTAAATTCCCATCTATCGACAATGATGACACAGGATGCATAAGGCACAAAAGAAAAATAGTATGTACTAACTACAAGACATTACCTCTACGAAAACTTCCCCATTCTGCAGAAATTAATTATGCAAGTAACCGAACCCAAACATGTGACCTCTAATATAGCATGAAACTTACTTGTAAAATGACCAATAACTAACATGCACGCATGTCATCTCTTAAAAAATGGATGGAACGAAAGTTTTCAGTGGTGACTTGTCACCGTTGAAAAGTCGTTGCCATAGCAGCCGTGGCTGAAAACTTTCAGCAACGACTAAAAAGGTCACCGCTGAAAGACACTTTCAACAGTGACATTCTTGTTGCTACGAATGTCGCCGCTGAAAGTGATGCCTAAGAAGAATTAACTTTACTAACGCCACATCATTGCCACCGGCAGCCACGTCATCACCGCCGGCCACCACGTCATCACTAGCCACCTCCACGTCATTGCCACATTACTCCTCCCCACCACATCATCATCCAAATATTTTCACCTTAAATGTGTCTTCTTCAAGGTTCGAACTCGTGATCACCTCCTTTCATGTCCAATCTTCTTGCCGCTGAGCTGGATTGAATTTGTTTATTACTATTGTAAAATAAAATGTATATTATTATATTACACTTTCATCGGCGACATTATAAAGTCGCCGCTGAAAGTCAGACCTTAGTGTCATCACTAAAAGTTTACTTTCAGCGACGACCATAGAATGTCGCCGCTAAAAGTGAACCCAGTGATTACATCATCTTCCGCTCAAAGGTATACTTTTAGCGGTAACTTTTTTTGTCGCCCCTGAAAGCATACCTTTGAGCGGAAGGTGATGTAACCACTGGGTTCACTTTCAGCGGTGACATTCTATGGTCGTCACTGAAAGTAGACTTTCAGCAGCGACTATTAGCGTTGCCACTGAAAGTGAACTCAGTGGTTACATCACCTTCCGCTCAAAGTATACTTTCAGCGGCGACAAAAAAAGTCACCGCTGAAAGTGGACTTTCAGTGGCAATACTAAAAAGTCACCGCTAAAACTAAGAGGCGACTTTTTAGTGTCGCCGCTGAAAGTCCACTTCCAGCGGTGACTTTTTTTGTCGTCGCCAAAAGTCATTGCCTAAAGTCTTTTTTTTTTTGTAGTGTACAGGTTGCACGCAGCCAAATGCAATGAGCCATTACTATTCAATTAGCCATCGCTATTCATAGCACAGTGATTTGAGTGAGGAGCCAGTGGTGATGATAAAATGGCTCGACTCAAAAATGATTTTTATTTATTATTTAGCTTGATTGATGTGTCCTCTCTATTATTATTATGGGTGTTTGGCAAGTGATAAAAGTGTTTTTAAAAAGTACTTTTTTACAAATCGAGATAAATTTTTTCAAATATTTATTTCGTATATCAACTGAACATGACTAACGTCATCTCTACTACTCCTGCGTAATATCATACTACATGGTAGCTACATATTGGGTTAATGAAAGCTATTGGTGGAGAGCATTCATCATTCTAACCGTCCATTTCAAACAGAAGAGTGGAAAGCTGGAGTTAAGAAACAACAATAATCCTACACAATCCGACCCACCATGACAGCTGTGAGCCAAAAGAGTCATTATTGTAATAAATTCTCACCCATTCAAAATATAAATTGAATCGTTCAAAGTTAATATTTTTAATTTGCAATTTTTACAATTAGAAATTTACTTTTTAAGAAGTATTAATCATAAAATTATCATTATTTTAAATTCTAAAAAATGATTTAAAATATAAAAGCTATTAAAATAAACACTTTATGCTTTTTTTTTTAAATGAGCATGAAATGTGCTTGTGGTCTCACTACACCAGCCGTTCCAAAACTCAAGTTGTAGGATGGGGCACCTTGGGATTACAACCAATGTGATTTGCACTTAATATATTTAATACTCCTTTGATCTTACTTATAAGGAATGTTCAGTATATTTCACGCATACTAAGAAAAACCTTAATCTTTATTAATTTTCATTTAAAATTTAGTAACTTTCCAATTTTATCCCTACTTAATATATATTATACCTCATATAAATAAAGTCAACACAATAATAAATGAAGGGTAAAATTATACATCAATACAAAAAATTTCTCTCAGTATCCTATAAATAAGACCAAAAAATATCTTCTCTCTCTGTCCTATAAATAGGACCAGAGGAGTACTACTCTATTGCTATTAATAACTCACTTATAGAAAAAAAAGTTTGTTCTTAAATATAAGTTCTTTTTTTTTTTGGACAACTTATATCTTGTACAATTGATATATACATTAGTCATAATTAAGGGATTATAATCACATTTGAAGTCACTTATAAAAGGATATTTTATATAAGTCGAAATAAAACTCTTTTCATATACTTATTTCATATTTCATAAATTATTATTGAAAAACTGCTTATAAGCCATTTCAAATAGGCCCTATGAGTACAGGAACTAATATTGATGATTGAGAAGAACTTATAAGAATTAACAATAAGATCAATTATATGACAATAATAGAAATAAAGATGTGTTTGTGCAGCTACCTTCTCTTTTTTCTTTTTTTTTCTTTTGGCTTGGTTATTTTGTTGGGAATCAACCATCTATTTGTACAATTCTTTGATGGAAAGGAGTAACAAAAAATTGGCATGTTGCTGTCATTTTTCAAATGATTAAAGATCCTTGAAATAATGTCTAAACCTAATGGTTCAAGGAAAAGCTAATGGATCATGAAACAAGTAAATACTATTTCCACTTGTCTCAATGATGCACAAAAATTGTAAATAACACAAGTGCGAGCGTCAATCAAGTAATTAAAAATAAGTATAGAGTATCATTCTTATAGAGAATCAGACAAAATAGTATTTAGGTATTAGAGTTCCTATTTTCAGTTAAGTTAAGCAAGCTGAATTATTGTTGATCGATTAAAAGAAGAATAGACAGAAAAATTCAATATTAAAAGAAACCTAGAGTCAATAATCCCTTACTAGTTTTGTATACTTTTGCTTTTATTTAACTAATTAGTCTCAAAGTTAATTTATTTAATCTAGAGTATTTATAGCTAAAAGTATCTTTTGATCCACTCATAACTCTCTCCTAAGTAATAAGGCTATGTACTTAGATCTAATTCAAATACTTAAGAGGATAAATTAATTTTACCCTTTATTAATTATATAGGACTCATAGGTATATTTCTATCATATTTGCAAATTAGATAAAAATCTAATCCCATATTACTCAATCCTAGAGCCTAATCAAGATTTTCTTTGTCAAAGCTAACCTCAATGCTCAAACTCATAGTTAATGATGGCCAAACATTAAATAGATAAATCAAAACAAGATTAAGTAACCAAAATTAATATCGAGTGTAATTAATTAAATGAAAACAAGGTTCACTCCATAAGTAAGTTCATAGCTACTCTAGATTAAAGAAAAGAACTATCTACACATGGCTAAAATAAAATCCATAACATTAAAGAAAGAGTTCAGATTCAACAAAATAACAAAGATGGAAAGAAGAGAGCAAATCTGTAGGAGGTCCTCCTTTCTTGATCATTGCTATCGCATGAGGAAAAATAGTGAACCAAAGAAAACGTCCATGCTGCCGTCACAGAAGAGGATCGTCAATTGCCCACTGTTTGCTCGCTGCTTTCAATCCGTTCCCTCCCTTCGATATGCGTCTCCCTATATATATAAATATCTTGAATCTTGATTGCTTCACACCTCCTATCCGCATGATTCCTTCAATATAATATATTATATTATATCATAATTGATGATTCGCTCCTTCCATGAACTTCACGCCTCTGATTCTCCTAATATGTGAATATATATATATGTATATATTATATTTGCTGCATATGTTGCTCCCCTTTTGTTTATCTTTTATTTGTAATATTTTTCTCTCCCCTAAATTTAATATCTCTTGTAGAAGAGAAAGATATATGAATATATTTTCTGAAAAGTCTTCTCTTTATCGCTGAAAGTGTTTTCGGGGAGAGAAAAATATTACATTTTGTTTCTTTTATTTGTAATATCTCTTGTAGAAAAGAAAGTTCACTTTCGGCGGCGACAAAAAAAGTTGCCGCTGAAGGTCCACTTTCGGCGGCGAGACTTTTGTCGCCGCTGAAAGTCTTGGTTTCAATGGCGAACTTTCAACAACGACTAAAAAAGTCGCCGCTGAAGCTCCACTTTCGGCGGTGACATTTTCGTCGCCGCTGAAAGTCTTGGTTTCAGTGGCGACTTTTTTTGTCGCCGTCAAAAGTCGTCGCCTAAAGTTTGTTTTTTTGTAGTGATTGAAGAGCTTATAGCTGTTGGAAGATCACTTGCGTGTGTTTGGCAGTTACAATGATTGTTCGCCATTAATGCTTCTGACACAGTAAGTTAAGTCTATAAAATAACCGTTGCGCTTCATAATCTGCAGAAGTCTCTTAGCACAAGTAAGCTTTCTTTTTCAAGTAAATATAAATGAATAACAGAAAAGGTGATGATTCTTGATATTTATATAACAGATGGAAAGCATAGAATCATTCATCAGATATTTAGTAAGAAAGATGAACTTACTTGATCAAAGTCTTGATCGATAACTCTTTGATCGATCATATTATCGATTAATTGTAAGAGAATTAAATTAAACTGGTGTATGTATTTATCGAGTTAATTATGGATCATACAATGATAGTACAAGTAATCGATAAATGGTGAAATATAAACAGAGTGATCTTTGTAAGTGAAGTACATTTAAATTCTATGCGTGGTTTATTTCTTTCAAATTTGTATGCCTTCGTTTCTTTTCAAAAGAGAATTAAATGATCAAAGAAGGCTGATAAAAGTTTAAAGATAAAAATAAAACATGTTTTACAAAAGATCAACATGAAGAACTGTTTGAGTGAAGAATTGGTGTATTGATTGTACGTGATGATAATTACTTGATTGATCATCTTATCGACAATCCTAAGTTATTGTGAAAACAACTCTTAAGCAAGATGATTGAACACTTGATTGATAAAGGTCTGATCAAACAAGTGATTGAAAAAGTAGTTCAAAGAAGACTTAGACAATTATGCATGAAGATAGGTTGATGATCAATTAAATGATCGGTTAATAAATAATCGATTACTGACTGTAAAAAATCTTGGTTTAGAAAATACCAGAGTAAAGCTTTGATCGAACAAGTGATCTAAAAGAAGTTCAAAAAGACTTGATGAGATGTGTGCAGTGAGATGTTGACGATCAACCATATGATCGATAAACTACTGATCGATTACTTGATTGATAAAGGACTGTGAAGAACTTGTGTTGCAATAAAACAGAGAGCAATTTGTCAGAACAAATTATCAATAAAGTAATGATCGATAATATGATGGATAATATAAAAACTATTTAACACAGTAACTAAGTTAAGGAAGTTTACCAATTTATTTGAGTCATTATCGATTATGGTTTGATCGATAAGGTGATTGATAAACTCCTAAAGCACCTTATATTCACCCAGTGTTATCAATGATCGATCAACATGTTTATCTTATGAGTTATTTGTCATAGTGAATTATCTAACACATGATCGATCAAACCTAACAGTATTTAATTCAAAATGAACTAACAGTTATCTGACACATGTTCGATTAACTAGTGATCAAACACTTGATTGATTAACTTAACAATTATGCAAAGACTTAGTTTGTTATCATCAAAACCCTTAAATCTAACATTCTCCCCCTTTATGACGATGACAAAACATAAGAGGATATAAAATATTTAAATTATAAGATTTTAAGCAATTTGTTAAGATAAATCTTGCAAAAAAGCTAGTAAATTCAGAAACTAATAATTCTACAACTATAAACTGACAGTAAACTGAGAAATTTGCAGAAACTGAAATTCATGTATAAAATGCATCAGAATTCAACATCCTTAGAATACAAGATTTGAAACAAAACACAAATTAAAACACAATTTAAATTTAAATCTAGTCTAGATTTTTAGAATTTTTCTCCCCCCTTTTATCAGCATCAAGAGAGGAGGCGGAAGGAGCAGAAAAGGAAGGTAAAGTAAAAGGGATAAGAAGTGGAGGAAGCTGTGAGATGGGAGAGAGAGCATGAGAGATAGGAGGTGAGGGTTGAGGCTGAGGTGGAGCTACTGGAATAATGGCAAGTGAGACAGAAAACATGGGGATAGTGGTGGGTGGTGTGGGTTCTGAGGTGGTTGCAGGTTTAGTGTATGGAGGTGAGGGTGGATGTGAGAACAAGTCCTCATAAGAGAATGAAGTGCTGGGACTAGAGAAGTTAGCACAGAATGAGGTGACCAAGCCTTTAAGTTCTTTAAGTTCCTTCTCCACCGAGTCAAATTTCTGAGATACCTTCCTTTCTAACCCTGCCATGCCTATCTATGAAGATCCAAAACAGCATATAGTCTTTCAAACTTTTTATTTGAGATTGCTCCATAATCCTTGACAGTGGTATACATCCTTTTCTCAGAGTTGCGAGAAGCAGGAGTAATAATCAAATGAAAAAATGAAAAAAAAAAAAAAAGGAACTGTTAAACTTAAAACATGAATAGACGAAATTGTCATAGAAGAACACAAGCGCTCTACTGTGTAAAAAAGTAATAGATGCATCCCATATTGCCTAGCTCTCAAAACTAACAATTTTAAGAACACATATTACGTTATCAAAATAAGCATGAAACTCAATCTTAGTGCTTTATGATCAACATCAGCCTTGCATTTGGAGAGTAGCTAGGGGGCTGATGAGACATTAACGGACCATCTTTGACGTACTTTATCTTTCTTTGGAACGAATGTAGCAGCTGATATTCCAAGCAAAAGGGAAAAAAGGAGCTTTAATTGGATGAAGAGAAAATAGGAACTGGGGATGAAATTGGAGAGAAGAAAAAAGTTGAGAAAATTTTGAGGAGAAAGCAAATGAGGCCCCATGACTTTTTTTTTTTGGGAAAAAATGACAAAAAAATGATTCATAAATTTCAAAATCTCGAAATTGTTAGTTAAATAAATAAAATTCTAGTTTAGGTATAAGTGATCAAATTGAGATTTGCAAATTTACTGAAATAACCATATTATCCTTTATTTTTTAAAAAAAAATACTAAGCACTCTTATCAGCCAGCCGGTCACTAGAGCTTTGGTACTTGCGACGGCTGCCAGAGCTCACATGGGCAACTGTCACTGGAGCTTCAACAGTTGGTCACTAAAGCTCTAGTGGCTGACAATTTTTTTGTGGAAATTTTTTCAACTTCAATAACATGGTTAACAAGTTATTTAACGCTATTAACAAGTTCAGTATAGCATTTAACAACAAGTTTTTCAAGAAACTCAAAAACTAACATTTTTACAACTTCATTCATGACTAACAAGTTTTGCAACGCTATTAACAAGTTTGATATAGCAGTTAACAATAGATTTTTCAAAAAATTCAAAAAATGGCATTTTGACAACTTTGATAATGGTGTTAACAAGTCATGTAATGATATTAACTACTCTCATAATGTCATTAACAAAATTTCCCTATGAAAATTGATGTTTTTAATATTAACTCCTTATGAAGGTTGTACATCAAAATTTTTTCATTTATTAGGCAACCACTATAGCTATGAAAGTTATTAATATCATTACATGACTTGTTATTAGAGTTGTTAATAATATTACAATAGTTGTTAGTATCGTTGCATGACTTATTAATTGAGTTACTGAAAGTGTAAAAATGTCATTTTTTGTATTTTTCTAGAAATTCTGTTGTTAAGTATCATATCGAATTTGTTAATAATATTACCGAATTTGTTAATCGCATTATCGAAATTGAAAAAATATCATTTTTTTAATATTTTCTGAAAACTTATTTTTAATTGCTATACCGAACTTATTAATAACGTTAAAAAACTTGTTAACTGCATTATTGAAATTGTAAAAAAATTTTAAAAAAATAGTTGTTAGCTGTCAGAGCTCTGATCACCTGCTGTCAGCTGGCTGCCAGAACTCCAGTGATGGCAGCCCACCTGATCTCTAGCTGCTGCCGCTGTCATTTCAACAAATTTACAAATTCACAAATTCTAATTTAGTTACTTATACCTAAGCTAAAATTTTACTTATTTAAAGGACCATTTAGAGATTTTGAAATTCATAAATCATTTTTTGTCATTTTTCCTTGCTTTTTCTCTTGCACTATTTCTTCTGTTTTTTTAATTTTATATTTTTACTCAAATAGAGAAAAATCCATTCCCCCCTCCCCTTTTCTCCCCTAGATTTTTCTGGCCCCTTCATTACTTTTTATCGAAACACTGGTAAAACTACGGTACGAGGTTTGAAATGGAGAAAGGAAAGAAAGTTAAAGAGCCAACCTCGGTCGAATTTAGAAGCACTGATGAACTGGATAGACACGCCCCCGCCTAAACGCTAACACTCACTTGCACGATCCGACAGAGACACGCCAATGTCAGTAAAGTCGAAGGAGTTTTTCTTCTTCACTAACACAACGGTCCCTTCGATCTGTTTGCCCCTTTTGCTGCCTAAGAAACCAGACAACATTGCTACCTCCTCGTTCAAGTTTCACTCGAAGACATTGAACAACAAAACGATTTAAACTGAAGATGGCAAAAGACTAATAATCACACGGGCCGCAGGTGACAGAGTTCAGTGAGTATTAATAGAGAGAGAGAGATTTAAATGGATAAAAAAAGACCAGAAGTCAATGTTCATCTGTCTTCTTCTTTTTTTTTTTAATAAAAAAAGGATCAGGAAAAAAAACTCCCATGGTGCATATTATAAGAAGTCTTCTAGGGGATATTTTTTATCTTTTTACAAGAAGTTTTGATAGTTTCAATGATCATTATATAATTTTTCTTTATATAAATGCCTATATTTAATATAAGTTAATTAATATTTTTTTCAATTTTATCTTTGTTGAATTAAATATGTGAGAAAAAAATATAAAACATATTTTTAATATCTTTTATTTAATAAGAATAAATATAAAAATTATTAATTTAATGTATTTTTTAAGGAAAAATGACCACAAAATACTATATGAATTTTAGAAAGATAAAGAAGGCATCCAAATAAGCAAAAGGACAAAGAAGACATCAAGTACCAATTTGGAATTTTGATTTTTGGCCTAAAGATCGAATTGTTCTCATTATGTTTGAAAACTGAGAAGATGGAGAAAGGTAGGAACTGCCTTTACTCAGCGAAAGCAATTCCCCCGCTCAGTAAAACAGAAACTGCCCCCACTCGGCGAAACCAATCCCCCCACTCAGTGAAACCGAATCCCCCTACTCGAAGAAACCAATCCCCCCACTCAGTGAAACTAAATCCAAGCTCCTCCAGCATTGAAAAGGATTCTTCGAAATCACATTGCTTGACTACAATGAAGAACATGTTGCTGATTTCCGACGAAACTTAATGTGGTGGCTTGTTAATCATGAGCCCAATTCAAGGTGTGAAGAAGCATTGACATTGCTTTCATCTATAGAACCCACATAAGGAAAAAGCAGCGTGTGTCACAGCACAAAATTATGATGTCTGAGTTTAATGATGTTTGACTTATAGTTATGTATGCAAGGAGATTTGCAAACTGTTTTCAGTGTATGTAAAGCTGCCTGATTTTCAAGTATGGTTAAACCATTTGCTCAGAATGTTACCACACGTATAACGAGATTTATAACTCGAGAAGTGAATTTGACCACTTCTTCAAGGGGTTTGACAACCTGTTTTGGGAGGCAGGGCAACTTTTCTCTAAAAAACATAATTTCACTCTGAATTTAACAAAACACATAGTGGGATTTATAACTTTTACAGTGAGTCTTACAACTTTGTCAATGGGATTTGCAACCTTTTGTGAGAGGCTGGCCAACGTTTTTGTCAAAAACAAAACAATTCCACGCTGAATTTTACAAAACACATAGTGGGAATAACAACTTTCACAATGAGATTTACTACTTCTTCAGTGGGTTTTGCAACCTTTTGTGAGAGGCTGGGTGACGTTTCTGTAAAAAAAACAATACAATTCCACGCTAAATTTTACAAAACATATAATGGTATTTACAACTTTCATAGTGAGAGTTACTACTTTGTGTAATGGAATGCACCATTCACAAAATAGTATTTGTCAAAAACCAACAACCATATGACAACAGATACATTACATATATTCAAATGACTGCACCTGAAGTATATCACAGTAAACATTGAATCATTAATTTTCATACTAACTATATGTGTAATGGAATGTACCATTCACATAACAGTATTTACTAAAAATCAACAACCATATGATAGCAGATACATTATATATATTCAAATGACTACACTCTACTCCTACGACGGTTACCAATTTCACTGACGGCACTCTACTCCTATGACGGCGGCAATGTGATTTCGGAGAACCTTTTTTGGTGATTGGAGGAGTTTGGATTTAGTTTCGCTGAGTGCGGGGATTGGTTTCTCTGAGTAGGGGGATTCGGTTTCGCCGAGTGGAGGGATTGGTTTCGCCGAGTGGGGGGATTCGGTTTTGTTGAGTGGAGGGATTGGTTTCGCTGAGTGGGGGCAGTTTCTGTTTCATCGAGTAAGAGGATTGCTTTCGCCAAGTGGAGGCAATTTCTATCTTTCTCCATCTCCTTAGTTTTCAAACATAATAAGAGCAATTCAATCTTTAGGCCAAAAATCAAAATTCCAGATTAGTACCTGATGCCTTTTTTTGTCATTTTGCTTATTTGGATGCCTTCTTTATCTTTTTAAAATTTATGTAGTATTTTGTGGTCATTTCTTCTTTTTTTTATTTGTGAGCTTGAGATATAAATAACATATAAATATGAATAGAATGGTACTCCTCTGGTCCTATTTATAAGGCACTTCTAATATGTTTCATACGGACTAAGAAAAATCTTAAACTATATTAACTCTTTATTAAAATATAGTAATTTTTTAACTTTACTTCTATTTAATATATACTCCTTTCAAAAACAATAACTATCTATACTATAATAAATAAAGGACAATATGATACATTTATAGTAAAAATTTAATAAAGTGAATTATAAATAGGATTAAAAAAAATTCTCTCTCTATTCTATAAATAGAACCAGAGGAGTATAATGTTAGAATTTAATGTAAATAAATAAATTTAATGCTTTCAACTATTTTTAATATTTCGTATGATTTGGTTCGAACCTCATCTTCTGTGAATCGGAGGGAGTAGTACCATATACCCTTGGTTCTTGAACCTGGAGCCAATTAAGCAATTGTCCCCACAATCATAGCGTTGCTTTTTGTCAAAAAAATAAGGGAAATTTGGGGGAAAATACCCATTTAAAAATTTATTTGGGAATTGGTTCCTAAAAATTTGTGAGAGACTGAGGTCCATGAGTGTAAA